AAAAAAAAAAAAAAAAAGAAAAAAATGAAACGTGATCGACTCTCGGCTCGATCGAGACGTGAATTCACGCGCGATCCTTTTGCACGGCTTAATTTACTAACGCTACTAAGTGCATATCCGTACGTGGTAAGTCTAAAGGGAGTTTAATTTAACGTGACGCATAAATATGTACAGATATTTACACGGATTGGAAACACTTTGAAAACGCGCGAGGATCGACGTTTCTGTTTTTCTCCTCTCTCTCTCTCTCTCTCTCTCTTTCTCTCTCTTGTTTCTCTTTTTCTACGAGTAACGCGACGACGTCTTGTTTGGCACACGCGAACCCCTTCACATGTAGATACGTCGCAAATCCGAAGGCGACGTTATCATGTTGCACTGCGGGCACAGCTTTTTCGCGCCCTGGAAAGGTGATTTTTCAAAAGAACGTGCGTTTTTTTTTTTTTTTTTTTTTTTTCAAAAGACAGAAAGATTCTGCTTGACTCGAGCAAGCATCGAGTTGTAGGTAAAAGTACCGATTATTGTTATTCTTTTAATTATATAACTATAGTTGGAGCAAGTTACGCAGGGATTTATCGATCCTCGAAAATGGCGAGGAATTAATCAAAATCACAGTTAAAGGGTTTTTGTTTTGCAAACAGCTTACGAATTTATTGAACAACTCTCTTTGTTATCAAGCTGTTGTTTCATTCTAGGCTTGTCTATTACTATATTATAATGAGATAATAAAAAAATGAGAGATAAGAAATAAAGAAAAGTGTACTCGATAGAAATATCCTTTCCTCATTCTTTAATTGGTTTTCATTTGATTTGAGGGTCGATAATTTCTTGAGTAACTGGTAAATATCCTTTCCTCATTCTTTAATTGGTTTCATTCGATTTGAGGGTCGATAATTTCTTGAGTAACTGGTCCATTTAAAATCATGTAATCATACTGCGTGAGATAACGGTGAATTGTATTATAGAAATTTAATTTCAAGAGAAAGAATTGCCGATATTATATTAATTGGCCATCGATCAATTGTTTCTCTTTTCGATTTATAGTGTTCGTCATATAGCGCCAATGTGCTAATTGAAATTTTGGAAATGGTACTTGGTAGTAAAATAATTTTGATAAATTACTTTAATTAAACTGGCAGGAATTCCTCGACATTACGTTTCGCACGACGACGAAGAAAAGAACAGGATACACACGGATGTATTATAAATATTAATTTAGCAAAATACTCGTAACTCACCAATGTGTGCAACCAGCATTGTTCGCAATGAACGTGCCAGCAGCAAACGGAAGTCACAGGCTTTTTATACTGCTCCTAAAGACACACGCGCGCAAAAAAAGAAAATCAAATATTTCCTTTAATTAGCAGGCAACAAAGTTCATATTCACCGCTTTTATCATTTATATAATAATTGCTGAAAACGTGGAAACGTGGAAAAATCCGAGAAACAGAATAATTAAATAACAAAAGAAGAAGAAGAATAATGTTTTCAAAAAGTGAGGCAGAAAGAAGTATAACAAACGTGTGATAAATATATTAATAATAATGTATAATAATAATGGCAATATCAACAGTAACGAAAATTGATCTCCAAGGAGAATAATAAAATTATACAATTGTTAAATAAATGTAATACTCCCTTTCGAAGTATGAAACGTAAAAAACAGAAGGCAAGTCTTAAATTTTCCTTCTAACGCGAAAGTTTACTTTCTTATGGGGGAAATGAAAGAAATTTATATATCGTCGCGATAACATATACGAATCAGAACAACTCTAATTAAAAAGATCCGACATAAAAATTTTGTTTCCACAAAGGAAATTCCCCCTTCGCAACTATTGCACGCCAAAACAATTCAAACGTCTGAAACGTCCTTTAATGTATAAATTTAATTATTAAAAAGTCTAATTATTCCAATTTATTTTTATTCTAATAAAAGTCTGATTATCCCAATTTATTTTTATTCTAATAAAAGTCTAATCATTCCAATTTATTTTTATTATAATAAAAGTCTGATTATACAAATTTATTTTTATTCTAATAAATGTTTAATCATTCCAATTTATTTTTATTATAATAAAAGTCTGATCATCCAAATTTATTTTTATTTTAATAAAAGTCTTATTGTCCCAATTTATCTTTATTCTAATAAAAGTCTGTTTATTCTCGCTTATTTTTAGTCTAACAAAAGTCTAATTAATCTAATAGAATTGAAAAAAAAAAAAAAAAATACAAACTCAAAGTGAATCTAGCTGAAAAGTGTCGAACGTTCTTTAGCAAGGAAAAAAAAAAAAAAAAAAAAAAAACGCGTTATTTAATTAAATTAATTCGCTGTCCGACAATTGACAGCGGAGAGCATTACACTTACCATACAGATGAGACACTTGAACGGTTGCCCGCGCATTTCCGCCTCCAGCTCCCGGATTCTCCCTCGAAGAGCCTCGATCACCGGCGTGTCGCCGTCCCTCCTCGGGGACGCCGAGACGTTCTCGTCCTGCTCGTTATGGCCAAGAGGAGTCCCCGTTCCCGGCTCGGGCTTCACCTCGACGAGGCCTTGACCGACTTGCTGCTCCGGCGTGTGCGGCGTGTTGGGCGCGTTGGGCGATATCACCGCCTCTCGGAGAGCGTCTCTCTCCTTCTGCTCTCTCGGTGTGCCGTCGATGCGTGGCGCGACCACGTCCGCCTCGGAGTACTGTGCCGGTCCGAATTCCGCGGCGTCGTCGCCGTCGACCACCAGGTCCACGTCCTCCTCCTCCTGTTGATTCGGTCCACCGTTCCCGCCGGCTGAACGACTGCTCGACGACGTCGCCAAACCTGCGGCTACGAAACAGACCGAGAGACTTTTTTTTTTCCTCTGTTTTTTCTCGTTTTCTCATAGAAACTCAACGCGACTCAACTCAACCGCGTTCAACCCTTTCGTCACGTACGAGCGCCGGATATGTCCGGCAACCACGCGATGACCTGTGTGTACCCGTTTAAAATTTATCATTCTGAATTAATTAAATTACTGAAAACTTTTTGAATTAAATTGTATTATTATTTAGAATAATTTCGAAGTCTCCGAATATTATCGTTATGTAAAACTGAAAGAAGTACGTCGAAAACCAGTTTACCGACGTGCAATGTGCACACTTCGCGGCGCGGTGTCCCGTTCAGTGTTAAAACGGTTAGGGTCAGCCCCGTTCAAAGGGTTAAATACCAGGTAACCGATGCCAACGTTAGGTTCATGATCATCCGGACCGTGGATTTTCAGGAACGCAAATTTTTAGAAAAATAGAAAATTTTTTAACATTGACGTTTACAAGTTTGAACATTTCGAATCAAACGAATACTTTGTATACTTTTGCGTAGCTTTCTAGAATTTCCTAGAAGTGCATAAAAATCCGCCATTTGACGATGATATTTATTTCAACAGAGAGTTTTGAAAAAGTAGAGAAAATTGACGTCAGTCAGTGTTGTTTGATAGTGTGTTAATTTTTTAACATTCGACGAGGAATGGTTCGCGTGTTCACGTTAGAAGAGGAAAACGGGTGTTGCGACATTTCAACCAGAAGAGTGCGTTAATTTAACAGTGGACTTTAATTTTATTAACGGAGGAAGAAATTAGTAGAACTTGATATTCAGTTGACAACACAATAATAATTGCAACAAATATAGAATAATATTATAATTTAACACGCAATAATAATTATAATACAAAATACAAGAGAAAATCAAACGAACATACGTAGTATAGTTTTTTAAAAAATTCGTATCAAGTTGTCGACTAATCATCAAGTGCAAGGTGCTCGATCAAAGGAATTTTATAAACCATCGGTCACCCTCAAAAACCAAATAAAAATTAGAGAAAAACACGAACGTCTGTACTATAATGAATAAAGAAACACGCTTATGAATTTACCGGAAAATCCACCGACAAGCATGGACGTTGCTCGCACTCTTCTTTGTCCAGCCCACTCGTACTCCTCGAAAGTCTCAGCATCGCCCTCGACGTCCACCTCCTCCTCGTCCAGATTATTCGGACCAGCAGGGTTTCCATTATTGTGTTTGTTCAAGCATCTTTCGACGTGTTGATTCAATTCCTCCGGCGTGCCGGACAGCCTCTCGCTGCAAACCGGGCAGGAAGGCTCGTCTGCTTTTCGTTTCCGGTTCTTCACGCGAATTCTAGCCTGCGCACGCCACACATTCCAATTTAATTACGCGTTACCTCTCTTGCTCTTGTCGGGAAATTTTTGTCCCGACATTTGCAATATTTTCTCTCCGTTTTAAGTATTACATTTAAGTTGTAACCAATAGGCAAAGCAAACAATAAATTTACTACTTGTCAATAATTTTTATTTGGTGATATCGTACCGACGAGTTCAAAAGAGAAAGAAAGCGACGAATTTAATGTGCACTTGGTTTGGTCACTCGTTACGGTCCGCAGTCCGTAGCTGCCCAGGGCAAGTGATTAATCGAGGTGATTTGTCAGACTGTGGATTTTTCATTTGTTTCATTTGTAAATATTATACAACGATACTTGCGCCGTGATTTGTACTTTGAAAATTCGAGTATTTTTCAAGTTTTAAATTTCGCGATCTAATTCCTACGAGATTTGATCTATTTATTGCTAGCCAGTATTTATCGTGATTCTCAAATTTTGTCAGTAATTATACAGTGCCGTGTCAGACATAGCAGTGACTATTCTAAAGAATCCAATACACAAAAGCAATATAAAGACATGGGAACGTTAGTTGGATACTTGAAAAATTATTATACCCAATACCTAAAACTACGAGAAGTAAATGACTGTCATTTAAAAATTATTGATCTTTTAATAATAAAATCGCTGATACACCGATGATACAAATTTACGCCAACAGAAATTTATCGTTAAAAAAATAAACTAGAGCAACCAACAGAAATTTATCATAGCGTGAATAAAAAAAAAAAAAAAAAAATAAACCTCATAAACTCCATTCATCCAGTTCAGGAATCGACCGCCCATAAAGCGAAAGATGAAATAAATATAAAAAGCATCTCCCCTTCTTTCGTATTTATAATAACAGTCGAATTTGATCTCGACACTGTAAAATCGATCGTAACTGAATATTTGTCTCACCTGTCTGTTGGCCTTGATCCTTTTGTACGTCTCCCATCTTCCGTGAGGCGTCCCGTCAGCGGCCGACGGCCCGTGAAGCATCGGTCCATGGGGATGATCCTGAGGGTGGCCGGGGGGCAGGCTGGATCTCGGCGCCCGCGATCGAGACGACGCCGAGGATATCTTGTAGAGTCGGTCGAGCTCCTGAGCGAAATGTTGCTCCAATTCCTGTGGCCTCACGGTCACGCCGCACGCCGGGCAACAGGACGGGTCCGACGGAAATTTCTTCTTACCTGAGACACAATGTTGACCACCTGTTATGTCGCAATAGTCGCAATAATAGTCTGTAGCAATAGTACAACGATCGAAATTTCACGTGGAATATGAATTTTAATATTAATTTAAATATATTGTATTAATAATATATTAATTTAAATATATTAAAAATATAAAATTGTCGAATTTAAATTACAAAGGAATTTCTTTTTCTTTCGCATTTGGTAAATCGAAACGACGATTTTTTACCAAAAGCCTGAACATCGTACGATCTAATAACACAAGCACAATTTCGAGTATTGTTCGTTTATATATATGTATAATTATATTCGTTGTTCGAAAGAAATGTCCATCCAGCTGAATTCCAAAAGAATTGTAAGACTGAAAAATGTTAGTTTACAAAGAAGATTCCAGCTGTGGAAGTCAAATAAACTCTGCCGAGTAGTTACACCTGTTACGTACCTTCCACAGTTAGCATAAATTGTAACGAAATGTATTTTCATAGCACCGAGTGTCATTTGCCTGCTCGTGCTTGCTGGCAAACGCGCGTAAATTTATCCGTTTTGTTTTTGTTGAGATTTAACTGTGGATTTAAGTGTGGAAAATAATTACTCGATAGCTAAAAGAATTCTTTAGTCGATTTTATGGTATACCTCAAATTTCTACGTTAACCAAAAATCGATAGTACGTGTTGAATATTCAATAAAGGACGCAATGGAAATTCGATGGAGTATTATCGGATGATAAAATTGTATGTATATAGAGTAATGAATGTTAAAAATAATTTGCCACGACGATTACACGTACGATTTTGATAACATTTAACAGAATCCGCCGGTGTAATAAATATTCGTTCAGAAAAATCTTTTAATCGACTTAATCAACTGTTTGTAATTATCTAGTTTTGACTGATTTTTGAATTAGAACACACTTTGTGGCGCAATTTTATTATTCATCGAATATTGTCCTAATTTCCTAAATATTATAGAATAATTAAAGTAAAGTGAATATGATCGACAAGCCGTGTATTTTAAACAGTATAAAAAAACCAGATGATATTATAAAACGAATACCAATCTTACAGAAATTAAATTATTTTGTCTCGAAAACTACTTACACTCTTTTAAAATTAAAAAATACCTACTTACACTCTTTTAAAATTAAAAAATACCTCAAGTTTGATATTATTAGAATACTGAAGCATAGAATTTCCACTAGAAACGTTATTAGAAATATTAAATGGATAGAAAAGCTTCGTAATATATAACAACGAGCTGTACGATTTTACGAAAAATCATTTAAATTTCTAAAAGTATACACAAAGTTATAGAGTGCCTAATGAAAATTACAAGCCGATTGTTTATAACTGCAAATGATCAATTATCAGTTTACAAACGATGATTGTCATTTGTAAAAATCCCGAGAGGAAATTACAAATTGATCACGAAGTACGAATAACTTCTTGAAAACGATATTAAACAACTTTCTACGTCACTCGTGTTACATCTCACAACTTGACTACGCTAAAATTACGTTTCATGGTAAAATTAAGCATCGTTTAAAAATGTTATAAATTCCTCCCTCGTTCGCTGACAAAAGAACACTAGAAGCATTTAGAAGAATTTAAAAACGCGTGTCTTTACAAACATCCAAACACACACATACAAACACACACACACACACACAGAGATCATAAACCGACGAAAGAGTAAGTCAGCAGGGATTTCGGGCCGCGAGAATCGTAAGTTACATCGACATCAGAGAGCCCTTTCCGCTTCCGGATGGTCGTTTATTTGGAGAACAGCAAACCGGCTACTCTCCGACCGTTTAACCTATCTCGAAACGGTTCCTCCACTTCTCCCCCTTTCTCAACGATCTTTCGTCTCCCTCTCCGAGAAATCCCGATGATCGTTCTTCTCTCCTCTGTTTCCCCTGTTGTCGAGGTGCTTCTCTCGCGGAAACTTCGTTCTCGTCCTCGTGCCCCGGCGCTGCTCTTTCAATTAGGTAACGCCGTGGAAATTTATGTCGGCGCCCTCCTTCGAAATACCTCTCCTCTCCTCTCCAACCCTCCCCACTCGATATTCCGTTTTCCTTTCTTTATTGAAAGAGACACCTTCTGTGTCCCTTCATCTCTTTTCCTTTTTTCTTTCTTTTTTTTTTTTTTTTTTTTTTCAGATCTACAGCGTCCATTGCTACATTGGAAACGATTCTCTTTTTTTTTTTTTCTTTCTTCATAGGCGTTGCGGATCGCTGGCAATTGGAAATAATCGCGATGCAAAATACCGGCGAGTGCGTTTCCTCGTTCCGCCGTTTCATAATGCGACGACGGCGTTTCGATTATTGCGAGAGGCCAAACCAACCGTCCCCCTCCTTTCTCTCTCTTCGTTTCTACCTCCCTTGCTCGTCGTGTCGGATCGATAGGATAGGATATTGGCTTTGAAAATCGGCACGGTTTGTTACTTATTGGCCTGGGACTGATATTCCGGATCGCGTCTCGTCCGAGCGAACGAGAAGTGAACGCGATCCACGGGGCAACGTTTAAGTTTGTCGTGATTTTTTTTGGTGAATAACGCGATGAATTAAAGAAGTGAATTTTTGTTTGTTATTTTAGAGAAGTAGGAGGAGGACAAAGCGATATTGACGAACTTGTTCTAAACTTTGGAGAATGCTGGTTGAGAAGAGAAGAGAATAAAGTAATATCGGTGAATTAAAGAGTAAACGCGAATGAGAAGAGAGCGATGCAATAATTGGCGAATTTGTAATTCACAGGTTGTAATTTTAGCTGTTCAATGAGAAGAGAATAAGTCAATATCAGTGAATTCTAATCTTCTAATTTGCCAACTTTCTAAAGTTCTAAATTTTAAGTTTTAAAGAACGCTGGGCGAATGAGAAGAGAATAAAATAATATCGGTGAAATTTTTTTTGGAGAATGCTGGTTGAGTGAGAATAGAATAAAGTAATATCGGTGAATTAAAGAGTAAACGCGAATGAGAAGAGAGTGATACAATAATTGGCGAATTTGTAATTCACAGGTTGTAATTTTAGCTGTTCAATGAGAAGAGAATAAGTCAATATCAGTGAATTCTAATCTTCTAATTTGCCAACTTTCTAAAGTTCTAAATTTTAAGTTTTACAGAACGCTGGGCGAATGAGAAGAGAATAAAATAACATCGGTGAAATTTTTTTTAATAATTTTAGACAATAAGTATGAACAAGAAGGGAATAAAGTAATATTCGTGAATTTGTTGTGACTTTAGAGAGAAGAGAATAAAATAATATTGGGCGAGGTTTTGATAATTTTAAATAGTAACGCGAGTGAGAAAAGAGCAAGGTAATATTGATATTTTATAGTTTTCGGTTGGTAATGGTGAATCTGTTCTAATTTTAGAAAATGAATTTTAGAATGAAAGCAGAACAAGGCAATATTAATGAATTTGTTGTAATTCTAGAGAACGCTGAGCGAATGAGAAGAGTAATAAGGTTGAATATTAGTTGAATTTGTTGTAATTTTAGAGAGTAATTCTCTTACACAAAATTGTTTAGTCCTCATAAATAAATAGCCTCGCAGGGGAATTGTATCACAATGATAACTGAAGGTTCAATTTCTAACATAAAAATTGTAACTGGAGATATTTTTGACAGATATTCAAACATTAATTCAATTTATCGAGTATGTCTTCACATGTCAATTCAACTTAATTTATTAATTCCTCGTTCTGTGGTTAACGAGCCAACGAGGCGTGCTCATCAAGAATGAAATGTGTGTTCCTCACATAGTGGGGAAAAAAAAAAAAAAAAAAGAATTACGTCCAAAAGAAACGAAGAACTCGAGCAAATTTTGCTCGATTAACGGATTCAACGATCGGATAAAAACTGATAAAACGGCGCTCGTTCTGAAAACCCCTTTCGTAATCTTTGAAATTAAAAGGCTACTTTAGGCAGCGGTAAGAAACTCGTTCCTTCGGCCGTATAATCTTATCGATGTTATCATCAAAACCGTGGAAAATCGTCGGGGGGATGCGATTTCCATTTACAGAGTTCCATCTGCTGACATAATTAACGGAAACGCCGGCGTTTTCGCGTGTCTTGGGGTCTCGAGTGAAAAGGAAAAGAGAAAAAAAAAAAAAAGAAAAAAAAAAGGGGAGAGCGGCGAGAGCGAGCCCGAAGGTGGAGAAAGAGGCGTAGACTGGCAAATGCC